TTTTTGCAAAAGTATTATCACCGAGGTGCCTTCTTCATGGTAAGTGAAAGGGGAGTCAGAAAACTGGGCAGTAGTAATAGCTTACAGACATGTCCAACCTTTTGACATTGTGACATTACATTGTCATCTGCACAATTAAACCAGGGCATTAAGTAACTCAAAAAGAAGTATCATTAAGATACTTAGGATAGGCTGGGGCAGTTGTGGCATACACCTTTAATCCCAGCACTTAGGATGCCCTAGACAAGCAGATCAGTGAGTTTGAAGCCAACCTGGACTACAGTGTGTGTTCCAGAGCTACACAGAGAGCCCCTGTCTTGGAGGTGGGGAATGATACTTAAAATAGTAGATTCAAAGTTTTGTTCTAGGCTACATTTGTAACTGTCTTGGGGCAGAGTCAGTCAATGAGGTTAGACATACACTCAAAACACTTTTAGTTCTTTTCCCCAAGAATGAAAATACACTTGTTAACAAAAGGAAGCAAGAATCATCAACTACTTTGTTTTAAACTTAGTTCTCGGAAAGTGATGATGAATGACATTAAGGAAATGAAGCTATGGATCTTTATACTCCACCAATTAGGTTCTCAAACCCTTTAGGAGTCATTTCATAGCCAAGAGGCAGAGACAGGCTGATATCAGCCAAGGCTGTTACACAAAGAAACCCTGTCTCGAAAAACCAAGAGTTACGTTTTAGAAACATTGTGGTGGCTCTATAATGCAAGGCCTAGAGAGATGGTTCAGTGAATAGAACAATGACTGCTCTTGCAGAGGAGCCACATTTAATTCCTATCACCCACGTGGCCCTTCTCAACTCAACTGAAACTCAATTCCAGGGGCCTCCCACACCTCCTTCTGAGCTCAACAGGTACCAGGCACGTACATGGAACACAGCCATATATGCACGTACCCATACACATAAAATAATTTTTTTTTAAGAAAAAAAAAAAAGAGGGGCTAGAGAGTTTTCTCAATGGTTATGAGCACTGGCTACAGTTGCAGTTCCAAAGGACCTGGGTATAGTTCCCAGCACCCACATGGCTCACAACTGTCTATAACTCCACATCCAGGGAATTGATACCATTGCAGACATTCATGCAGGCAAAGCATCAATCATGAAGTAAAAATAATATTAATAATAACTACAAAAATATCCTCCAACCCAGGTGAATAGTTCATAGGCTGTAATAAATGAATGTACAGAATATACTCAAATTTTGAATCTAGATCATTGAGAGAATGATGTTCCTACATATAAAAAAGTAAAATCAGGAAAGGAATCTGCCTTGGGAATGTTAGGAATGATTTTCACCCACTATATTTCAGGTTCTAACACAGTGTCTTAGTAAAGGTTTACGTGTAAAAGGATTAGAGATGTAGGGACTTCAGAACTGAACCTGCATGAAATGCGCAGTGAATGCAGGATCAGAACAGGCTTGTAGGTAGCATAACAGTATCAGAAAACACCGTCTCCCCACCTTTCTGAAAGAAAGGCTCACTACCCTCTGGTTCCTTTGTTGTGTTTAATAAATTTGTGATTTGCATATGTGGAAAGTAAAAACCACAGACTGATAAGGTTCTTTTCCACAGGATGAGGATGAAGAGGTCTACAAGAGGGATTTTAGTGCACCTACTCTTGAGGACCATTTCAACAAAACCATTCTTCCAAAAGTCATGCAGGTATGGGGATTCTCAGTAAAGAAAACAGACTGGGAGCTGAGCATGGGATGTTTGTTTGGTGTCATAATTATCCACCTTTCTTTCAGGTCAAGAATTTTGGACGGTCTGGTCGTACCAAGTACACCCACCTTGTGGATCAAGATACCACTTCCTTTGACTCTGCATGGGGCCAAGAGAGTGCCCAGAACACAAAGTTCTTTAAACAGAAGGCAGCTGGGGTACGTGATGTATTTGAGCGCCCATCTGCCAAGAAGAGGAAAACCACCTAAGCTTCAACTACTTATTCCAGCTGTGGGACAGAGGATCTGGTCCTCAGTTGTCTTTAACCATTACTCACACAGTTCTTGTACAGAACCTTCTGGACTTCCTGCCGTGACTTGTGTCTGAAGGTGCTTTGTAAGGGGTTTGGACTCAAACAGAGAAAGCCACAGAAAAGCACCAGCCAGGGAGGATTGGAGGCTTCCCACTTAAAACTGTTTCTACCATGGCTTCCCATATTGACTTGGGACTGTTCTGAGTTTATTTTTCCAGCACCTTAGCCTGGATCAGATATGTGGGCCTATGAGTGGATGGTACATTACTTCTTCCCTAGGGTCAGCAGTAGGATATCAGGAACTCTAAGCGCAGTCCAACCTGTTTTTGCATTTGGGGTGTTGAATCTACTTTTCTAAGTAAACATACTTTTTGATCTGTGTGTGAGTGCGTGTGTGTAAGAGAGTGTGTGTGAGAGAGAGAAAACCACACACCAGAAATATTTTTACCATAATAGTGGAAACAAAATATATAATGTGACAACTCTTGTGTCACTAAAAAGAGGCTGAGTATGGTGGCACATGCCTTTAATCCCAGCATTCAATGGAGAGACCCACATAGATCTCTTCTTCAAGGCCAGCCAGAGCTACATAGTGAAACCCTGTCTCAAAAACAAAAAAAAAAAAAAAATGTAGTGTCTAAAATAAAGTATAGCTAGGTATGATGGCAAACACCTGTAATCTCAGCACTTGGGAAGTAGAAACAGGAGAATCAAGAGTTCGGTCATCCAAGCAGGACATGGTGGCGCATGCCTTTAATCCCAGCACTCTGAAGGTGAATCTCTTGAGTTCGAGGCCAGCCTGGTTTACGGTGAGTTCTAGGACAGTCAGAGCTACACACACACCCCAAAAAAAAAAAATCGGACATGACTCGTTTAGTCAAGTTCCTACTAATCTTTCTTGTCCAACTCATGTATAAGGTGAAGGAGAGCCAGTGCCCACAGCTGTTAATACTAGAGTTAAATCCATTTGCCCATGTAATATTTACTGTGTAACCATCATACACAGAATGAAATTTCATCAGCTGAATGACTTTCCTTGATTACATAACAATGAGAAGAGGGGTGAAGAGGTGGCTCGGTGATTAAGCGCACTTCGTATTCTTCCAGAACATCTGTGTTCTGTTCGCACACCCACATCAGGCAGCTCACAAACTGTAACCCTGGCTCCAGGGAGATCTGAAGCCTCTAGCCTTTGAGGGCACCTGCACTCATTTGCAGATAAACAGATAATTAAAAACAATAAAGTCATTCTTTTTAAAAAAAAAAAAAAAAAAAAGAACTGGACCAGGTGGTACTCAACAGTAGTCCTAACTACTTGAGAAGCTGAGAGAGGATCACCTGACCCCAAGTTCAGGACAAGTCTAAAATAAAATGAAATTCTATCTAAAAAAATAACCCTCAAATTAGAGGTGTGGTTCACTAGTAGAGTACATGGCGCTAGGATGGTTAAGGGTCCCAGATTTTTAATCTCAGCACAACCAAAAAACAAAAGTATCTTTTCATGTCCTTAAAATAGTCCCTACAAGACCCATTTCATAGGCTATTGGCAAACTGCTTATATCCTACATAAAAGTTAGGTAATAAGAAATATATGAGTACTGAGCCAGGTGGTGGCATACATAAGAAGCAGAAAGGTCTCAAGTTGCAGCCCACCTTCAGCCACATCTCACAACCCATAGCAGAAAAAAAAGGTATGTGTAAACACATGAATATATAGATATACATGTTTATGTAGTATATGTATATATGTATGTAGTTGCTTATGTGTTTAATAGGGGAGTGTGTACATATTTGGGCATATAGAACTAAGGTCATTACTGCAGTGCTGATAGTGTATCAGTCACTCTACCTTTCTTTTGGGACATGGTCTTAGAAAGTATGAAGTTTCTGATTAGGCTGACTGACCAGTGAGTTACGGGAATCTACCTGTCTCAGCACAATCTCCAATCTTAGAGTTACAGGACCATGCCATCACTTGTGGGTTTTGGTGGTGTTTTGGGTTTTTTTTTTTTTTTATTTTATCTTTCAAAACGGTCTCTCTGGGTAGACCAAGCTGGCCTCGAACTCAGAGATCTGCCTGCTCCTGCCTCCAAATTTTGGGATTAAACTTGTGTAGCACCACCACCAGGCCACTCCTGGGTTTTGGGGAGAGGTACTGGGGATCCAAACGCAGAATCCTTGTCGGTTTTCAGTTTTGGTTTTTTTGAGACAGGGTTTCTGTGTAGCTTTGGTGTCCTAGAACTCACTCTGTAGAGCAGGCTGGCCTCGAACTCAGAAATCTGTCTGAGTTGTTAGGATTAAAGACATGCACCATTACTGCCTGGCTTCCTTGTGCTTTTGAGGCAGATACTTACACCAGCCATCTTTCCAGCCCTAATCCATCATTTCTATGATCTATATTCCCATCTCTAGACCCTAAATTTTTACTCCAGAGACCTATGAATGGGGTTGGTAACTGGTTAGACCCCAGTAGGAGCTAATCTTCTGGTATCGTGAGCTAGCCTATAGAGCAGACTGGAGGATGACTGAAATCGCAGCCCCCAAGTGTGGTAGTGAAGAGATCTGAGTTTGAAAATAGGCTGGGCTACACAAGAAGAACATATCTGCTTAAAACAAAAATAAAATTAACAAGCTATCCTAGAAGCACATGTAGTTGAATCTTTTGCAGAGGACTCAAATGTCCTTTATATTGCCAAGAGCTAGTCAGATGAATGAGACTAACACACCACCTGTTATTTAGGGCTGGTGAAAGGCTTTGTGGAAAAGAGCACATGAGTTTGATTACCATGTGGTGAAAGTAGAGTTGTCATCTGATGTCAAGCACTATGGCAAGAAAGTGCCCAGACACATACACACACAAAATAAGTAACAAAAATAGAGCCTGTATTTGAACATTAGGTACTTCTTTATACTGATTATATACTTTCATGAAGGTCCAACATAGAAACTGACAATAAAATAGAATATATAATGCATTTGATCAGAGATAAGACTGGAAAAAAAATGAATAGCATAACAAAACACTTTATTTCAGTAATCAGTCCAGAATGTCTGAAAATGCACATTATCAGTTGGTTAGGGCAATAAGAGCCTCCACAACGTTGCCCATGTGTTCCCGCAAGCTCCTTTCTGCTGCTGCTCGAGAGATCTCCATCTCTGTCATCTGCAAGAAAAGGGTAAATCATGTCACCATAGCCGCCTCTCAGGTATAAATGTGTCAACTCCACTTGTTGGGAACCCAAATTAGGTAGAACTTCACTTGCGCATCCACTAAGGCATTGCTACTCACTATCAACTCCAGATCTTCCTTCTTGATCGTGACCTTCGCCAGTTCCTTCTCCCTGTGAATATATATGTATACATACACATCTGTCTTCATTCTCTATCTCTGCCATAAACTTCCACAAAGAACACTCCCAGCTACACACTGCAAGTGGATGGAACAGGGTTGACTGAAAACATCAAGTAAACGTACCCACCCCTCCCCTGGAGGTTTTCCTTCCCCTAAAAACTCGCTAACAACAAAGTTGGAAACCCTAGATCTACAGGAATTAATTTAAAAACTTTTTTCCCCCTGGAGAAGAATGAGAACCCATAGGGCTGGCAGTGTGCTTTAAACTTACCGCTCCTGTTTTGCCTTTTGCTCCCTGGACCGTCTGTCTCCAATGACGGACATAGCCTGTAGGAAACACGAGTCTAGTCACCTACGACTGTGCTACCCAAAATTTCCTACCTAAAACGCAATACCAAAAATAAAAACTACATGGTTCCTCAAGTATTAACAATGACGAGTGTTCTCGAGACCAAAGGACTACGCTTAATTCCGTGCACTTGAGGTCCACTTAGGCCCACTCTCCACCAAATTCTTAAGCAAACCACAGGCTAGGTGAGTGTTGTCGCTTATCCCCACCCTACTGCCTATTCTCACTATCGCGATCTGCATCCCCGGAGTCGCTGCTACGGATCGGCTTCAACTATCCCATTCTCAACCCTCTCATACAAGCTCCCGGTCAACCTCACCGTCTCCAGATTCGAACTCTGGATCTCCTTCTCCTCCGCATAGTCAGTGACCCGCTCCAAGTCAGCAGCACCACTATCATGCTTCCGTGGCTTCTCGGGAGGCCGCTCCGGGCCGCTGGTCTCGGTTTCTAACTCCAGCTCCACATCTCCCTCGGTCGCCATTTCGATCTCACCGCGCCGCCGCATAGGCTGCCGCTTCACAACTTCCGGCAAACCTCAGCTTCCGCCCAGATATGGGGCGGGGCTGGCTCTGGACCACACCTTTGTGCCTGTCTTGAGAAGCTTTGGCTAGGAGGGCAGTTCGCTTTTGACCTCTCCGGCTTGTGTTTTCTGCTGTCTCCTTCGACTAATCTGTTCACTACCCACACCATCCAAATGCACAACCTTACTCCTTCATCTAAGAATAATCCTTAAACACACACACGCGGAATTGTTTTCTGCAGTCTCCTTCGACTAATCTATTCACTACCCACACCACCCAAATGCACAGCCTTATTTCTTCACCTAAGAACAATCCCTACACACACAATTCTGACCAACCAAGGCGGCCGACAGCTAATCCTAAACCAATTAAAAAAACCTAATCCCCAGACCAGATAGGCCAACTGCTCCTAATCTCAGAAAACAGTCTGAATGATCGCGAATACAAAGCCTGGTGAAGGCATCTTCACAAGGGTATTTGCATTAACCAATTTCTAATGATATGTATTCATTTTCTGATATGCCCATTCTACTGCCTTAAGACTGAGTGACTAGCCCAGCACAGCAACCGCTCAATGGGTGAAAATCTTGAGAGACTGCTGTTCCTCATCCGTTTTCCCAGTAATGGATCTACACCTAACTTCTGGATCAAAAACGATAGGTGCAAAAACCATCACCGGCCGGGGCACCACCCTGGGCCTTGCACAGCAGCATGATGGAGTCGGCGATGTCATGGCGAAAAATCCCGTTTATCAGGTGAGAGGGCATTTGAGGAGACTGGCTTGAAGATGTCCTTAGATAGCGGGTTTGGTGAGAGAAACCTGGTTCCTTGCCTGATAACTGGTAAACCTCTCATCCCACATTCCCAGCCACAGAGCGAACGTTAGGTAAATGTAGGTGGTTCACACCTATACTGAAGTTCTTGTAATGAAAAATCACAGTAGTGTTTAGTAAAGGCAGTCCTAAGCAACTCACTACCTGACCTGACAGTGGGAAGGAGGGGTTTGTAATTTGACCTTTAACCCCACACAGTATACACCGTCCCTTGCAAAGCTCCACCTTTGCTTCCTACATCTGCTCTATTCCCAGGTGTCCTGCTGTGGGCCTGTTTCCTGGACCAGCTGCTGCCACTCTAGGCAGCCCTCTCTCACAGAATCTTCTTGTAGCCGCCTGCTCTACATCCTTCTCCATTTGGGGGCCTCAGCTATCTGCTGCCTCCTGCTGTCTAGGACAGTGGTAGAAAGGGTCTGGGGCAAAGCACATGGGGTAAGTTGGGCAGGAGCTGCAAAGTGAGGAAAAGAAACCATAACATCTAGATTGGGAACAGGGAGCAAGTGTCACCCTACCAGTGAGAAGTTGGAACCTGTCCATGCACTGTGACTTGTACTACCTTTTGTCACAACCAAACTCCCTGCAGATCCAGATGCCCTCAGCGCTGTGTGCCCACCTGTTTGGCAACTTGGACTGTCCAGTGCTCAGTGGCTCTGGGGCTGTGTATCGAGTATGCGCAGGAACTGCCACTTTCCACCTGCTGCAGGCTGTGCTGCTAGTTCGCCTCCACTCCCCCACCAGCCCACGTGCACAGCTGCATAACAGGTTTGTGTATAATTTTTGGATGGGGATGGGACAGAGGGAAGTAAGTAGACACAAGCTGGCTAAAGGAAACTCCAGGATGAAGAAAGAACACTGTAAAAAGACAGAAAACAAGTTTGTAAATCCCTGGGCTCTAAATTGAAAGTAACAATGGTTATATGTAAACCTTCCATAAAGTGTACAGTGTTGCTCATGAGACTTTTGGCATCTGAATTAGAACTTGGACTACAATGGGACTTGGGGCTGGTTCCACCTCTTCTCTTCCCAGCTGCCACACTTTTTCTTTTTTCCCTTTGCCTTTTCTCCTACATCTAGTTTTCTCTCTACCCCCACTAGCTTCTGGAGCTTCAAGTTGTTGTTCCTGTTAGGTCTCTGGACTGCTGCCTTCTGTATCCCTGATGAGCATCTCTTCCCAGGTACTCTTCATCTTACACCCTTATCAGCAAGAGTAGACCACGACTTCCTAGTTTACGACAGGAAGTTCGACATAATGCCACACACCTGTAATCCTAGTACGCAGGAGACTGGAGGAGGACTGAGAATTTGAGATCTGCCTAGGCTACACAGGCTTCCTAATCAAAAAGTGGGTGGAGGGATGTAGTGACCAGCCAGAGCTAAAAGTTACCAATGGTGTCTATCTTGCAGCCTGGCATTATATTGGCATCTGTGGAGGCTTCACATTCATCCTATTACAGCTGGTGCTTATCACAGCCTTTGCCCACTCATGGAACAAGAATTGGTAAGGAGCACCTAACCCTGAAGGTTCCCCCAAGAAGGATGATAGGCATTACTGGATAAACACAGAAAGGCCACATTAGGTACTGCTCCTATGCCTCCCAATGAATAGTACCAAAATACTCAAGAAACCAGATATGATGACATTCACTTGTGATCCCAGCACTGTGGAGGTGAGGAGGGTCAAACGTTCAAGGCCAGAACAGGACTCATGACCTCACAAAAACAAAGCAGGGTAGAGAGTTCCAAATCAACCTCTTTAAAAAAAAAAAAACAAAAAAAAAAACGGGTAAGCCTGTTCTACAGAGAGAGTTCCAGGACAGGCTCCTAAGCTAGAGAAAGGTGAAGCCGGGCAGTGGTGGTGTAGCCAAGTGGTGATGGTGCACAGCTTTAATCCCAGCACTTGGGAGGCAGCGGCAAGTGGGTCTCTAAATTCAAGGCCAAGATGGTCTCCAGATAGTTCCTGGACACACAGAAACCTGTCTCAATAAATTAAACAAATAAATAAATAATCAAGCAAAAAAGTGACAAATACCCATAATCTCAACACTCAAGATGCTGAAGGATTGAGGCATGCTGGGACAGGACTGCCAAATGTTCAGGACCAATCTGAAATACAAAGTGAGTTCAAGGATTGTGTGGAGTATATAGAGGCCCTGTCTCAAAACAAAACAAAAAAAAGCAAAGACCAAGAATATACTGTGTAGACCAGTGGGCTGACCAATTAGTGTCTGCTGAGATGGGGTTGGAGTTACAAACCCTTATCCACTTCTCTTTAGGCAGACTGGCGCAGCCCAAGACTGTAGCTGGTTCCTAGCTGTATTCCTGACTACCCTAGGATTCTACAGTATGGCAGGTGTGGGAGCTTTGCTACTGTTCCACCACTATACACACCCTGATGGTTGCCTGCTCAACAAGATGCTACTCAGCCTACACCTTTGCTTCTGTGGCCTCCTTTCTTTCCTCGCCATCGCACCTTGCATCCGCCTCAGTGGGTATTTGTGACTTAATATTCTAGATTTTGGGGTGGGCTGTGTCCCACTGAGTACTATAACTTTATTAGCCTTCTCAATTATTTAAAGAACCTCTGCCGCTTCTCCCATATCCTCTGCCTCCCCCAAGGATGAGGGAAGATAGACATGCAGGTAGAAAGTGGGGACAATTCTGTCAACTAATGACAGCTGTTCTCTCTAGAGCACCCAAGCTCTGGCCTTCTACAAGCCTCTATCATCAGCTGCTATATCATATATCTGACCTTCTCTGCACTGTCCAGCCGTCCCCCAGAGACAAGTGAGAACCCAAGTGCTGAAGACCATTTCTGCTCCTGCTAAATACCCAGCTTTGTTTTTAACCCTTTCTCTTCTGTTGCCCCTCGGCAGTAACCTTTCAAGGACAGAATCACACCTTGTGCCTGCCTGGCCAGAATAAAATGGAACCACAAATACCAGACACCTCGGTAGCAGTGTTGAGTGCCGGCATCATGTATGCTTGTGTGCTTTTTGCTTGGTACGTAAAGGTGTAAATGGGAAGTGTGAGCGGATGCCCAGGGCTCAGTGAAGAATGTCCAGGGCTGTGGTTTATTTAAACTGTAGAGCAAGACTAGAACCAGAAAAGCTCCCCACGAACAGGGACAATTTCTAAGAATAGCACTTTGTCAGATGATCTGTGTGAGATGACGGGGGCAGGGGAGAATGTCTTGAGTTTAAAATTCACAGACTTTAAGGGCCTCTGAAAGCAAAATACCGCTCCCCGCCCCCACCCCAAAGGATACCACCATGACTAGTTGGCAATAAAAGCCCCTAATTCTTATCTGGCACAAAGTTAAACTTTCTTTCACAGCAACGAGGCTTCCTACCTGGCTGAGTTATTTGGACCCCTGTGGATCATCAAGGTTTACAATCATGAATTCCAGGTGAGCATCCAGAGCTCAATAACCCCAACATCCCACCCTCAAACACAGAGACACACATCCTACCAACCTCTACCCAGAATGCTCAGACTCTAGCTGCTATTTCTTTATTGAGTACCCACAATGTGCTAGGCACTGTGCTAGATACTTTACATACATCATCTCGTTTAATTTAATCCTCACAACAACCCTGTGAGGTAGGTATTTGCTCCATTTCACAAATGGAGGAGTTGAAGCACAAAAGATTAAACATCTTACCAAAGTTTGCATAGCCAGTTATATGCTGGAGCAAGAATTTGAACCAGGTGTGCCTCCACTTCTTATACCGGGCCAATACTTTCAAAGGGAAACTTTTCTAATTAGTACCCTCATGTTGTCTTGAAGTCATTTCAAAACATGTTGCTTCGTTTTACAGAAGCCCTCACTCTGTTTCTGCTGCCCCCAAACAGTGGAACCTGAGGATGGTGAGCCAAGTGGGCGATCTAGGCAACGGTTGAATCCTGTAAAGTGCCAAAGAGTCCTCAAGGGCCTTCATAAGTCGGGGGAGGGGAGTTTCACCAACACTGCTTCCCACCAGCACTTCTCTCTCTCTAGGGCAAAGTAGCAGAGTCAGGCCAGCTGAGCAAGAGACCCCACCAGCCGTTCAGGTGCAAAGCCAGCATCTTTCCTACAGCTACTCTGCCTTCCACTTCACCTTCTTTCTCGCTTCACTCTATGTCATGGTTACCCTTACCAACTGGTTCAGGTATGATGAAAGCAGATATAAAATACCCTCCCGAAAACCTAGCTTAAGGAAAAACTGGTTATGAGGGAAAAGCCCTGCAGAATCTCTAATCAGCCTTTGGTTTCACAGTTATGAGGGAGCAGAACTGGAGAAGACCTTCACTAAAGGCAGCTGGGCTACCTTCTGGGTCAAAGTTGCCTCATGCTGGGCCTGTGTACTCCTCTCTATGGGTTTGCTCCTGGCACCACTCTGCTGGCTCCCCACTCAGAATCACCACCCTGGTATCTTCAGGCAACACTGCCATCACGTCAGTACTGCCAGGTAAAAACTAGCCCCCCGTCTCTATTAAAATACCGGGTACCATTTAGATTATGTTCCTAATCTTAGCTCCGGGAGTCATCTGGCTGAGCTCAGTACCTCAAGGACAAATGAGTAGTTACCACCACATAGGCTAAATTGCAAGAAGTGGACAAACACACCCTTGATTTCTCGATTCAGTAAAAACTGTCTTCATTCAAGCTCAAGAGTCTAACTCCAAAGTCAGTAAACTCAGGAGCTGATCCTAGCAGTGTGGCACCAGCCCCTTCCTGGCTTCTGAGCTGGAGATAAGGGGCAGGGAAAGACCAACAGAGTCTGAAGATCTGGGTCTGCTCTTGGCAATCAAAAGGAAACAAGTGGTTCAGCCCTGGGCACAGGATGTAAGAGCCCAGAACCACAGAACAAACCAGGGCACAGGAAGAATGAGCAGAAGCTACCACAGGTTTTAATCCTGAACTTGAGGTCAAAGAAACTGGAAGACAAAAACCACCTTCATTCTACAAGGAATGACAGAACAGAAGAGAACATTAACATTTGAGCAGCTGACCACGGGAAGTTGGTGAGCGGAAGGTTTTTTTTGTTTTGTTTTGTTTTGTTTTTGGCCAACTTTCAAGCAAACAAAAAATGAGGAAGAGACATAAACTTAGGTCTTAGATTCTTCCCCTCTTATGGCCCTCAATACCATCATGGGGATGGTGTTCAAGGTCTGAGTAGGGCATAAAATCACGGAAGGGAAGTCTATAGTTCTCAAAGGATTCCTCAACACAGAACTGGAGTGCTTTTCTGGTTGCCATAGTAAAATAAAGGCTTCTTCTGTGATGTCTCCCTTATGAAGTAAGTCTACAAATCTTTCTTAGTTGCCTAAAAGTCTCCCCTTTTGGTGGGAAAGGGCAGTCACTCGTCCATCCCCATCCTCCCAGTCCCCAGTCAAACCAGGCGCTCAAGGAATTACAAAGCTACTTTTAATACTTTGGGGTGTGCCCCACAGGAATAAAAAACACTGGGAAGGGGTAACCCCCTCACCCCCAGGAGTGGCCCAGGGGTAGAGAGGCTACCTGAGGGGAAGGAAGCACAAAAGGAACCCGCTGCAGACTCAGGGCCAAGGGAATGCCATCGGTGCTGGGACCTGTGAGCACTACAGGAAGAAACTCGAGCATGATGGGACTGGCTCCAGGCACACAGGCGTAGGGCAAGAGGGTTGGACACGAAGCCACAAAGCTACTTGGGTTCCTCCTTCTTCTCGTTTGCCTTTTTCTGCTTCTGCTGCATGATCTCCGAGTCCCTGGGGGTAGAGATGATGGGGCACTGGGAGGTACCAGAGGGCAAAAAGGACAAGATGCAGGGGGATGAAGGGTACAGAGGATAAGATGGAAGTGGATGGGACAAAGTTCAGCATATGGCTGCTATATTCCCACCCTAGGCGAACAAGAGGAATCGAGCTAAGGCTCAAAAGGCAATCAGTGTCCATCTGGATGTTGCCCACAGGGTCAGAAGTCTGGCCACTCAGGCCCAAGGCTCTCTATTCTGTACTGAGTACCACACCCAACGACACTAGTGAAAAAGTCGGGAGAAGGGAGGAGATACAAGCAGCAAGGAGGTCCAAAAGTACTGGGCTGTCAAAACAACTGTACTTGACTTGTGAAGCTCCCTGCCCTTGCCCTTAAGGTCACAACCCGGGCACTCAGAAATCAGCCTGTGGACCGGGACCCGCCCCAGTCCCTTCCTGTATAGCTCTGACTAACAATCTGGAGTAGGGAGGAAATAAAAACCCTAGAGGAAGCAATGCACTCTGCCCCTCACACCTCGTCCAGACTCGAGCCCTGAAATAGTTCTCTTTTCTGGTACACCCCTCTGTCTAACCCAGGTCGCCCCGTCCCGACCCGTCCCGTCCTTCCCCCTCCCTGGGGCTACCTCTGCTTGCGGGCGGCAGCAGAAAGCCCATCATCTCGGCGCTTTCCCTTAACCGAGTCGCTCTGCTTCTTCATGTTCTTCTGGCGGGCGAGCTCTCGCTGGTTACCGCCTAAGGAGAGAAGGTAGAAAGTGAGGTGCCGGGACTGCTCCGAGCACACACCAGCGCCCCTCCTCCTGCAACCGGGACCCGACTATGCCCCCGCCGCGGCGCCGACCCCAGAGTCGGGCTTCGGCACCCGGGGTGTGGCAGCCGCCACGGGGCAGGTTAACTTGGGGTACGGGAAGGCGGTGCGGCCGAAGCTGCTTGGCGGCGCGAGTCAAGTTTGGGGTGCCGCGGGGGCCCAGACAGCTGCTACAGCGTATGGGAAGCTCCAGGGCGTCGGGGCCACGCGCTGGGGCCCATCACCCAGGGCACCCGGCTTCCCCAGTGCGGAAAGCCGCCGGCGGCCCGCGCCCAACACAGGGGTCTCGGCAAGTGGCGGCGTGCTGAGGGCTGCGCTTCCGGCTGGGCGGGAGGCAGCAGGAGAGCGCTCCCTGAAGAACCTTCCGCCGGGGACGCTGAAGGGACGAACGCGCCGGCGCTCGGTCGTGCGGCCAGCGAGAGCGGAAAGAAAAGGGCGAGAGGAAAGGGTCCCAGCACTCACGGGTCATGGCGACGGCAGCGGCTCCAACCTGCCTCCGTTGCGTCCCCTCGTTCTGGCCGACGTTGCAGGCCCCGCCCCCTCCGCGCGACGCCACCAAGTCGTCCCCTTCCTCCCGCCCCTTCACGCCCGGACGCCAACTCTCATTGGGCAGAAGAAAACACGTGGAGCGCGGTGCCACGCGCCAGCCCCGGAGGGCGAAGAGCGGAGCTCGGTGGGCGGAGCGCCGGGCGCGGGGCGGGGCTTCCCGGGAGCGCTGGGTCCGGCCCGGAGAAACTAGGCCGGGTCACGTGGGCGGCGGGGTGGAGGGGTGCGGCTGGCGATGTGGCGCTCCGGCGGTGCCGAGCACGTGACCGGGCAAAGTGACCTCATGTGGGACACTTTAGGGTACTGACAAAGTCGCCCCAAGGCACGCGGTGGCGGGGTGGGGAGGGGGTGAGGGCGGGATTTCCTAGGTGGTTCATCCGGTTGTGTGCTATCAGTTTTTCTCTGGAGCGAAACTTTGTGCTGTTACTTAGGACACCCATCCCCCCCCCTCCAGCCCCGAGGCGGAACACTTGCTACGGTTCGTCCGAAAACACACACAAATACTTTCCCACTTTCGACAAATACTTTCCCACTTTCGTTCCTCGTTACTGCCGCTTCTGTGTGTCCTAAAGTGATCTGCAGTCATTTCCCAAGAGCCTGAGCCCAGGGCTCCTGCATGCACAGTTCCCCTACCGAGCTGCACTTCCAGAATGCCCACAGAAACTTTGAGTGTGCCTTGGGGGTGATGAAACACACCCAAATCCGTGGATTTACTTCGGGAACTGAGATTAGGAAATGCTCCCGTTACATCTGTCTAGGCCGTTTCTACATTCTATCATCTGCCCCAACAGTTTCTTCTGGATTGTTAAGAGAAAACAAACTGATAACTAAAACTTGTTCTCGTTTTTTTCTGTTATCTCACAGATGCGGTCCCGTAGATGAGATTAGTTAAACCCTCTCTCCCACAGGTCTAAGACAACCTGAGTTCTGCTAAACTATCAGGAAACAACCCAACAGAGGGCAGAACAGTAGAATTATCTTCCTGCTGCCCAAGCCAAAGACAACCTTAGTTAAGGCCCTTTTATCCTGTCTAGTATCTGAATTCAGAGCAACTGAATTCAGACAGCGCACACGCTAAAGCAACATTTGGGTCGCGACCTTTTCACAGAGGTCACTTAAGACCTTCGGAAAACACAAATATTCACAGTCCATAACAGTGGGGAAATTACAGTTATAAAGTAGCAACAAAAATAATTTTATGGTTGAGGGTCATTACAACATGAGGAACTATTAAAGGGTCAAAGCATTCGGAAGGTCAAGAGCCACTGCTGTAAAGTCTATAAAAGTCAAGTATTTCCTTTGTTCTGTGAGCTGCTGTTAGGTCGACTGTCCCAGCTCCGGCTTCTCCAGTACTGCAGGTGGCCAGCAGTTTTTTTCTTTTTCTTCCCCACCTTACCCCCACCCCCACCCCCCACCCGCCCCCTAGACAGGGTTTCTCTGTGTAACAGCCCAAGGTGTCCTGGAACTAGCTAGGTCTTGTAGACAAGGCTGGCCTCGAACGCACAGAGATTCCCTCTGCCTCTCCCTGGTCAGCATTTCTAAAGGATATCTTTCCTGAAATCCTCAGACCATTCTAAAAAGGATTTTCTGAGCCAGGCAGTGGTGGCACACGCCTTTAATCCCAGCACTCAGGAGGCAGAGGCAGGTGGATTTCTGTGAGTTTGAGACCAGTCTGGTCTACAGAGTGAGCTCCAGGACAGGCTCCAAAGCTACAGAAACCTTGTCTTGAAAAATAAAAATTAAAATAGTTGAGGCGGGATCTTTCTTGTTTTTGTGACTGTGCTTCATACCCGAATCTAACTGGCCCATGAGCTTCCAGGCAATTCTTCCATCTCCACCTCCAATCTTAATGAAGTGCTCAAGTTAAGGTGTGCACCATCACATTCAGCTTTTGCGTTTGTGTGTGTGTGTGTGTGTTTGGTTTTTTTGTTTGTTTGTTTGTTTGTTTGTTTTTGAGACAAGGCTTCTCTGTATAACAGCCCTGGCTGTCCTGAATTCTTTATAGACCAGGCTGGCCTGGAACTCACAGAAATCCACCTGTCTCCGCCACCCAAGTGTTGGAATTAAAGGCATGCGCCACCCCACCCGTCTTAAAGATTATTTTATATGTATGAGTATTTGCCTGTATGGGTGTATATGCATGCCTGGTGACCATAGAGGCCAGACCATAGAGGCCAGAAGTAGGTGTCGGATTCCATTCCCTGGAACTAGAGTTATGAAAGGTTGTGAGCCCAGCTGTGAGCCTAGCTCCCTGAACCAGGGTATTGCACATGCTAGGTGGTGCTTGCTGGAACACAGCTCTTTGCGAAAGGGTCTTAGTAAACTGATGATGCCTCAAACCTATGGTCCTCCAGCTTCCAAACTATCTAGA